TACTTTTTATCATTAAGAAATACACAATTTTAAGTAAAAGGTTGTAACAGAAGCTTATTGTTCTGAAGAAAGCTATATTGAGTGATGGAGTTTAGAAGGAAATGAAAAAGCTGCACACTCCTCAGTGTATTGAATTTGGTATTCACATTAATGACAGTCTAAGAAAGTTTACATTTGGCGCAAGAAAGCCCCGTGTTCATTGATGACTATTTTGAGAATCACTTAGTAGCTACAGTTTAACTTAAAGCATAAACCGTGCTTTCACAGAAAGGATATTGTTTCACTTTTGCGTCAGAGCAGACAATCATATTGTTTCAGGTAACTAGTGGGCTATCCACTTAAGAAACACATTCATATTTCATAAAGCATTTAATTGTATCTTTTTTGATTTTAATGTGAGAATAGTGTTTCATCTTAAAGATAAATAGGAATTAACATCATCGTCTCCCTTTCATCCATAGCTATTGGGCTATAAGGTGGGAGCATCTCATATTTTGGTCCATATTTAGTATTCAAGATTTATGCACAGCAGTTGACTATCAGAGAGATAGGTGAACAGATGCCTGGCACACACCTTAGGTTTAGATGGAGCTATTTCTGCGGTAAATTAGCCAATCTAGCATTCCATCTGTATAGACAATTTAAAATGTTTATAAGATATTTAAAGGCCATCGGCAGATATGCTTTCCTTCCATTTACTCTTAGTTTATGCCTGTGAGATTGGTGGAGGTGATGAAAAAAAGTCCACTGCAAAGTCGCCCTTCTATAGGCTTGCAGTAATTATTCTGTTATTTTCAACACATGTTTTATGTTGATCTACTGGGGCATTAGTTTGTAGCATCCTCTCTCTCTCATCCGGTACAGTTTTCATGTTGCAAGCAATATAAGAAAAGTGCTTGATGGGCTGATGCTATTAGGGAGCAGGGGGGAAAATTGGACTAAGGCACTGATTGATCATTACGTGTTCTTTTTGAGAAAAAAAAAGGAAATTGGAAGATATCTGTTGGCACCTAGGGATCCTCAGTTGGAAAGATTTAGATAATATTTCCCAGAAGAAAGACAATTTGCTAGAGCTTGGATAAGCATTTTCCTACCAGTATGGATAAGATGGATGAGGACTATCAGTATTACATGCATTACTATAACACTTTGCCAAGACGAAGAAAAAGGCATGGGGTATGTACATTCATTTCTGAGATATAGCATAGGGATCTTTATCAAGATAATTTAGCTTGAAAGTTTTTTTTAATGAAATGTTGTAGGATCAAGTTCACATATCAGTCTTGTAACTGGAATATAAAGATATAGATACAAAGACCTGGAACTGTTTAGCCAGTAAACTGATAGTTATTCAGTATATTTCAAGGTGTAGTTTTTCATGACCAAAAAATTAAAAACTTTCAAGAAATAAAAGTTGTTATAGATTTAGCAACTGGAAAAAAATGAGGGCAGATTAATCATTATCCAACTATGGTTTTTCGTCCTGGTTTTCTGGTTTTAATCTTGTTATAATTCAGGTGTGTAATATATGGCAACAGGTTAGTGGTGAGTTTTAATCATATTTATATCTATTTAGAATTGGATTTTTTGTTGTTTATATTAATGAAACATTTTGTGGGGGATATATTGCAATGTTACACAGTGATTTTGGATAAAATTAATAGTGTTGTATTCAGGACTGTTTAAGTACTGCAGAAGTAGTAAAATGGGTTAAACAAGAATAATAAAATAGTGGAGTGGAAGAGCAGCAGGAAGATATTTTGAAAGCTGCAGGTCATTAGTTGTTACAGGTACTTTACAGTGCAGCACAGCCACTAAAACCAGCTGCCAGGTGATTGCATTAGAATCTTCATAGCTTTCTTGTTAGATGCAAATTAAACCTGGAGTCACCTGGAAACTTAGGAAACGCTGGGCTTCATCTTCTGTAGAAGTTAGCTTTCCTAGCTTTGGAATGAAGATGTTGTAAAGGGCCATTTGGTTCCATCTTCTAGTTGGCTTTAGTGCAAGTTTGGACAGACACATGGTGGCCACAGGAATGTGGTGTTAATGGTATTTTTAAAACTTTCAAAGAAAGTAGATCACCAGTGACTCAACCTATCTCCTGGGGCCTCTTAAATACATCCCATCTGGCAGCATATGGTGCTGGTGGTCAGTGAGGTTTGGTATAAGTACCCACTTCATTAGCAAGCTTCTCATTTTAACAAGATTTTGAGGTATTTCTAAGATGGAGGTCCACTTGATTGTGGCAGCTGTGGAAGCAGTGTACTGGCAGCAAGTGGTAGGAAATTCAAATTTATAATTTTTTTTTTTTTGTTTTGTCTTAAAAAATTTCATATTATATATTTGATCATTTATTTTTGTTAAAGAAATTAGTTTGCAGAAACATTGCTCTTTGCATCATGTTTGTAAGTTGTGATTTCTGTACGGCGTTGTGGTTGGTGAGATTGCAATATGTTGAAATGAAATGATCTTTTTTAAAATGCAAAATGCACTTTGAGATGTCTTCAAGATGTTACAGTAATTACAGGTATATTGTCCATTTACAATGTTTCCCTACATTGGTCTGTGGCCTGCATATGTTAAATTTCCAGTGGTTCTCTGCCATCTTCAGCCAAAAGCGAATGTGTTAAATTGTAAATGAACTAGGTATAGTTTGTAATCCTTGAGATGATGTGATCATTTGTTTGTAATTCTAGAAATCTAATGGTTATCCCTTCCTCTCAAATAATAAATTGGATATTGAAAAAGATAAAAAATATAAGTTTATTCTATATATAGTTATAAAATTGGTTGCTTTAGTTCATCTAAAGATGAGTTATTGGATTTTAATTTAGAAAATATTTTTAGAAAAATATTGTCCTGTTGGTCTTATTATCCCTATTTCCAAATGAGACTGTATCAGCAGTGAAGGTTATCTTGCCATGATTGTGATGAAAATTAGTCTGGATTTTGCATCAGGTTCTGTATCTAATGTTTCTTTGTTTATTTCTTGTAGGCCAATGGTCAGCTCAGTCCAGCTGGAAACACTGAAGACACAGTGAGAGATCTTCACAGAGAGAAAGAAAATTTAGAATTGCAGGTTGGTGCTCTCACAGACCAAGTTGACATGCAGTCCGAGAAAATTCGTGAGCTGGAGAGGACCATATCCAATAACAAGGCAGCAGAAGGCAGACTACAGAATGTGAGTTGTAACTGAATATTTTCAAAGTCCTAAGTCCCAAAGTATTTAAGAATGCAATAATGCTGTTCACTAATGAAACTAGAATAGTGGTGCAATTCAGGCATGAGAATTTGGCAAAATCCTTTTTTATCCAAATGTGTTTTTATGTTTTTTTAACATGAAAAATTTCATTAATTCTTGATATATTTTGATTGAAACCCTTATCAGAACACGGTTTTGAAAGAATGTTTAGATATGCACCTTCAGGTTAATGAAAAGCCTTTATAGCTTCCCTGTCACTTTTATCTTTCTCTAATAGGAAATAATGTTATACCTTGGACAGCCTTTATGTGGCCATTCCAGTCTCAGAAACTTGCTGATTTATAGGCCCAACTCTTTTATGTCATGTAACTTCAGGCAAGAAGGTGTTGTGATTTGCCAAATTGATCTTAACTGCAATCCTTTTGAAAGCAAAAATTGATTGCCTGTTGCTTAGTTGTCCCAGAACTGGAGGAGAGTCAATAATTTTCATGGATTTAGGTCTTAACCTGTCCTGTTTGAGTTATTTTAGCATAAAAGGTGTTTGTGAAGTAATTTTTGTTTTTAGACTTGTTTTTAATGTTGTGCTGTATCCAATGAATATCATTAGGACAGCACTGGTAGCCTTGTGTGGAGAATTTCTGAACAGTGTAATTTGATTGCCACAAGGTGCTTTCCATGTACTCCAGGTATATTTTTTATCTCACATTGCTTATTAGCAGTCGTCAACTCCCTGGATGCAAACAGGCACTGTTAACAGAATTACACCCCTGCAAATTTCCAATCTGATTATATAGGCAGAAGATATTTCTGTAGAATGTTTTCAAAGGACACACTAACTAATATGTAATACTAGATAGAATGGGATTGATCCTTACACTTTATTGTAAGTGTTGTCATGTTGGGACAGAAAAAGTTTGAATATGTAGGCTGAGCTATCTTCTTAACGAGAATTGACTTTTTTTTTTGCTGACACCTGATTATATAAAAACAGAACGTAATTTTCTGCAATTTTGTGACTTAAACCTTTATTTCTTCACAGACAGTAAGCTTTTATGACTGTTAAATGTGCAAAGTTATAGTTTAAGGTCAATTTTTTTTCTTTTTCAACCTTAATATGTGACGACAGTCCCCTATTTCTTCCTCTCTACATTCACATTTTTTCTTAGGGGCCTCGGATGTTTTTTCACTTTTACATAATAAAAGCCTATCTTCAGTTGTGGTAATGGGAGCAGGGCATCAGTGTGCCCTTTGGCAAACTGGTGCTTGCATATTAATAATGGGTGGAAAACATTTGGAAAATGGCCATTTGCTATTTTTGAAATGTATGGGTGCAAGTAACCCATCAGAGAGAAAATTAATCCAGAGAAAATTCACCATTTTTGAAAATATTTTTGGCAATCGAGTCAAAGATTAAATCTTTAACATATGATTTACTTTTCTGTTTTTTAATGAACCATGTTTTATTGTGATAAAGACCTTAGGAAGGAAATGTTAAGATGGCTGGCTTTCCTGGTCATGTAAAAGACAAGACTGCCAGCTGTTAGCCCCACCTAATCAAGGTTTATTTTTAAAACCAAAGGATATCCAATGTCTTTGTCTTTACACTCTTACAAACAAAATGGTAAGGTACACTCACTCAGCAGGGATTATATACTTTGGCTAAGGATTTCATTTGATTAAGAGTGGGAAATTACTAGCTCCCCGCTGATTGATAAGATTTCTCAGATGTTAACAAAAAGATCCAGTAGGAATTGTTGAAATGGTATTTGGTCATGGAATGTTTGGAGTATTTTGGCAGATGGCAAATTGTTCTTTTAGCTGTGTAGGCAGACAATAGTGCAGTGGAGGCAAGGAGTCTGCAGGTTTCATAAAGAAAGTTTTTGAAAGTGGAAGAATCTAGGAGTAAAAGAAGTGTGACCATTGGGTGATTTCCTGGAGAAGAAAATTGTTCAAGTGTGAAGTTAAGGAAATCTAACATTTTGTTTGTGGATAGTTGTATTCACGTTAGCCAAAAGCTGTTTGCATAGACAATGACATGCATATGTAAAAATTGGTTAATGACATGGCATATTTATGGTAATAATTTGATTTGAAGGTGCAACAGCTGATTTCTTCAAATGAGGGACTAGCTAGTGTGGATTTCTGTGAACGAAAGTGAGGAGTTCTGATAAATAGAGCTATTTAATCTAATCACATTAATTTGATGGAAGATAAATACTTGTTCACATGAACCAACAGACCTAGTTTTACTGGAATGCTAATTGGAAGAGTCAGATGGCAGAGCTGAAGGGTACTTGTTACAATCTATTGGGGCACTTGAAACCAGTATCACATGTGTCCTGTATTTTGGTACATTGATATTTGATGACACTGAAGATAAAAAAGTGATAGCACCCCAAAAGCCTGGCATTAATACAGACTATCACAATAGGGCCTGTGCACATAAAACAAAGTTGGTGGAGAAATGGATTGGTATTCATGTGGTGTGTGTTAGTGTGTGACAGTGCCAGGCTGCCATTAGCCTGCAGCAGAATACAGTAGTCTCATTTAAAACTTCCTCTCTCACCAACCAATGCCAGGACCCAAGCTTTTTAATGACTGCAGTACATGCCGCTTGATAGACAGTTTACATACAGAGATTGCAGCAAAACTACAACAATTTATACCCTACATGCTGCCTGAGTGTCTGGTCCCCTTTGCCAGGCCAGAAGTTATTGACAGATACAGTAGCTACAGAGAGAGGAAAACCATAACAATAGCCTATTGTTTAACCTGAAGATCTGCATGGTCAGCATCAGTTGAATCCCTTCGAAACATTACACAAGGAGGAGTCAGGTTTCTGCCCTGGTGTATATAGGATCAACGGGATCAACCCACTGGGCAGAGAAGTCAAGGATATTTAAAGTGGTAAGGAGGCGGTGAAAGGATATAGCTGAAAGTGGAGTTTCAAGGAGAAAGGTGAGGACACTTGAGGTTAAATGGTTCCTCGCATGAAAACACATCAGATTAGTGGTGCTTAATCTACCAAGGCATATCATCAGCTTGGGGCCTACCACTCCTTGGCTGGCTAGGCTGGCTACACAAGCAAGAACAACTTTCAACTTCTGGATGCAGAAACAGTGTTCTATGAAAGGGACAACATCATCTTAAGAAAGATCCATAGTTTATTCCAGGAAAGTTTAAGCCGTGTTGGATAACCTTGAGTCTCCACCTATGTCTCTCACTGACAAGCAGCAGCCATACATATATATCAAGTCTCTATGTGATGTGACGCGTGACCAAGTCATACTTCTACTGCTACCATATATCACTGCAGTCACTTCAGACTTACAAGACTGGGACCATTTCAACTCAGCTGAATTTTTTATTTAGAAAAGCCTCAGGCTGAGAAGTAAACACATTGTTGTTGCAGTCTGCATGTTACCAGGTGATCCTATTACCTAGGCCAGACTGGATGTTATTGAGGTGTATCATCCTAGCTTGATACAGGAATAGAACACCCTCACTGAGTCAGGTTTACCTTCAGCACAGTCTACCTCTCTTCACCACAGAGCATCCAGCTTGCTGTTACTGCCTGCACTTAGCCATCCACCTCTGCTCTCTGCTTTGGTTCTTCATTACTAGGAATCTTCTAGGAACTTTCTGATAGTTGTTTTACTTTGGCAGAATATTTGACACAATGTTTCGGAGTTTTCGCAGGAAAAAGAAACAGAAGGCTGAGAAGGTAGGTGGTGTTAACATTGTAAGAACGTGTGCTACATTGGTGTGGTATGTATGGGATACTCTATTATTACCTGTCTGTCAGGTAGAAATATCAGATTTTTTCTAGTTACACAAGATTCTAATATATATGTGTGTTTTCTGTTTGTCAATGAGGACAACATTTGATGTTTGATTAAGATGTAAAGTATGTGGTTTATTTAAAGAAGCATAATGAATTCATGATTTTGCTTTTAATGCCCAATCTCAGCTATTAGCATTTAACTGATTGCCTTTGAGTTAACACTCGCTGTCCCTGTCGACTGACCCACTGACCCTAGCCTATCAAGTCTCTGTGAAGAGTCTCCTAATTAAGCATTTTTTCACTCTTTGTCCTGTAGAAGTGCGCCATCAGCCATGGCTAACACATTAAGTCATTATTGAAATTAATGACGACAGGGAAAATCCATCATTTGCTAAAATTTTAATTGCGCGCCTGTTCCTTTTCACTACAGAGCCTTTGTAGGACATTTTGATTTGCTGGAGGTATAGTGTTTCCATGACATTGTAATAAAACGTGTGTGTATATCGAAAGAGTTAAGTGAGATGATGAATGAAATTAATTGTCAAGTATTTCAATACATGCCTGTAGGTATTTACTAACAGGCTAGATAACAGTCTTATCATTTTGTGTTGTCGTGTTTTTTATTTTAGAGTGATAGAAGGGGGAATAAGGTAAAATGCATTTTTTCTTCTTTGTTTTGTCTGTAAAGCAATTGCATTTGGGCAAAGAGAAGTTTCTGTCAAGTAACAAATGTTAAAAGGTAACGTATATCATGTTTCTAGTCAAGTTGAGTTGATCTGAGTTAGTACCGCTCATTTTAACTGGTCTTAAAGCCTTCTAATTTTGATGAACTCGCCACAAAAAGCCAGTGTGAGCACATTCATTCCTCTGTCATAATCATCCTTCTTTTTAATTTCCTGTGAAATGCAAGTGATATGCTGAATTGTGAACACAACAACAAGCTTGTGATAATTTGGCTAAAAAATACTGTGGTACAGCCAATCCATCAGGCTTTCCTCTTGGGAGAACCAGGAGCTTTCAACCTTCTTCTTTGTTTAATTGGGAAAAGTGTCAACTTCCATATTTTTCCAATTGCAGTATTCCCAGTGATGGACTCTGGTTTCATCCCCAGAGATTATTTTGCACAAAGCATCCTTTTGTTCTTAGAGCACTGAAATATGTCATCTGCCATGAAATTGTGTTGTCTTTGTGCACAAATAGCAGACATTTAGAAGGTGCAGGGGTTCTTTTTCTGTATTATCCCTGGACTGCGGAGGCATCTTTTGTGTTCAGTCTAGTCAAACGGCTAATTTTACACCCAAGCCATTATGAAGGATGTGCTGAGATCTGGTTGTAGAAGCAATAGCAGGGTGATGGTTACACCTGGAGACAGGGAAAATGTGCTTGTGATTATGACATCAATGATGGTAGGGTGTGCAATTTAATACCTTTCATGTGCTGCTATTGGAAATATTGAAGTGTTAAGAAGTAACCTGAGTGCAGATGATTTGTTTATAGTTTGACACTAGGTTTGGATTACATTCATGGATAATGTTGGTTGCATTTTAGGCTCTGCCACTGTTTTGGATTTTGGAGCTTGATGAAAAACTGTGCCATTTCAACTGTAATTTAAAGTGCTGCAGATATCTGCTCTGACCCTTATTCATAAGGCAGCTAGAACTCTAAAGTAATAACATGTTCAGCAAAGTTAGTAGAATTATATTAACAAATACTATGCAGATTTCTTTTGGTGTATTAGCTTCAATTGACATTTTAAGAAAAAAAATTAACAAAAACCCTCAGTAACTTCTGGATGAAATTTGAAACTGGTTCTTCCTTTCAGGAACAAAAGAACTTTTGAGTTAGAAGATATTTTCCTAGGGCAAAAGAATTTTATTTTATTTATAAACACACATACAAATACACACAAGAAACTCCCCAAAAAAACTATTGACCTTAAACCAGTATGACCATACTGGCTTAGTAACATCATGGTCTTTATCCATAGATTTAATACATTAATAAGTGACCAAATTTAAAGGAATTCAGTATTGTATTTTTTACCGTAAAAGACATAATTGACTTATTTAAGGAAACCTTACTGGACGTTACCATAGCTACTATGTAGAGTTGAAGGTTAAAAGTGCATATAGTGGCACTGATGCATCCACGTTCAGTAATTTTATGCTTTTTGCTTTCGTAACAACAATGAACAGTTTTACCTTTCACTTGAAGTGATTAGTCCAAAGAGTAGAAGTTGAAAAAGAAGACCTTGCATTCTTTCTAAGGAAGTTTATTATGCTGAAAATCTCATGTATCAGCATACAATAGAAGGAATGTGGTGGGATTGTTTAAATTTGTGGTCTGCATTTTACTTTGTGCATGAATAGCTGAACTTTGATCTCTGCTGTGTGATTTCATTCTTAAAAATCTGCCATCAAGTTATTGTGTGGTCAGAATGAGAATGGAAACCTGCCACATTTGGGATTTTCTGAAATATTTTGCATTCAGATGTACCAGCTGTTTGTTTTCATATGGTCAGTGTTTGAAGAAAGTATACGCTGAATAATAAGTCAGGGTGGGAGTAAATTAGAAAACTAACTACCAAGACATATTTTAGACCTCTGATGTTTAAAAGCCAAAAAAATCTTGCTGCTTCAACATGGGGCTGCAGGGCCAACAATGGCCATTTTTATCAGTGGATTTTTATCACTGGATTAGGGTCCCTTTGTAATTCTTGTTTTGAAAAGCTTGATTGATAATTTTAAATTTCTTTTTTCAAGTGAAAAATGTGTTCTTAGGTAGTTCAGATTATATTTCTTGATATTGAACATGTGGTCATGTTATAAATAGCATCGGGTTGTTTTCTATCAATCTGTGAGTCAGTCTGGCTGCTGTGGGTGCCATGCTGGGTTCAGACCTCACTACATCAGTTGCTGGAGAGATGGTTGTCGCTCTATTCCTCTTGTTCCTGTGTGATAGCAGTTTGGCTTCTAAAAGGCATCTTTGCTAGCTGGGTTAAGGAACAAGGTAAACAGAGTGCCTGGCAGTTGTATTGATTAGGCAGCGTTAATTGGTTGACAGCTGATCTTGTTATCACATCTGGGCTTTTTTCAGAGGACATGGTTTGTCAGTGGCAGAAATGAACTTCAAAATCTGAAATTTAATTAAGCAGTATAATAACACTTTGAAATTGCTATTTCAAACTGCACTTTGAAATGTGAAATTGCTATAATTAGCAAAGGCCCAAGAAGTGGGTATTTTGCAGAAGCAACTCTTTTGTGTTCAACTCTTGTTTGTTTGAAATATATCTCTCTCCCTGTAAAAAAGCATTGATTTGCAAGTAAACTGATTTGGGTAAATGTAGAACATAAGAAAGCATCTAGAATTTCTTAGAATGATTGATTTCCTCTGTGAACCATGCAGAAGAGCCACTTCTTTGGTTTCTAATTAAGAGTGACTAATTTAGGGCTTTGCTATCTAATTCTACAGAATCGGTGTCAGAGGCCATCACACACTAGATCGATGGTCATTGGATTAGAAGTAGGTGAAGATCAGAGCTAGGTCAATAGGAAGGAGAAAGCATGGTCTTCTGGAATAATAATTATGAAAATAATAATAAGTGTGAATAGATGTTGTAATAACATGTGACGTAAATATTGTTTTATTGTGTTGGTTCACTACATTATGAGCAGCTGACATATATGGCCTTTTTCAATCAATATATACCAGGCCTATCTGAAAGCTGAGTGGTCAGATGTGAGTAACAGACATTACTAATATCACAAGAGAGAGATAGAGAGAGAGAAATACTCCTACAGAAGTCGTCTGGTGTTACTAATGTCACTGTTAAGAGCCACCGCCAAGTTGACTTTCTATGGCACAGTGGTTTGGCTGCAAGGCGTAATCAGTGACAACATTGTATACAGCCAGTGAAGAGGAAGGAAGTGCCAAGGTTGCCGTGACTTAGATTTAGTTCATTGCGTGTAAAAGGATGTGTTTCCCACTGCAGATCAGTTGTGAAGGCAGTGCCTGCTTGTAGCTTTTGTTCAAGGTAAGAACACAAACTTGAGTAACATTCTGATGGGAATGTTGCAGCTTGGGTGCTCACCCTGTTTATATATTAATAATGCCCCTTCTGCTGTTAAAAATGAAAATAGCTGGCACTCTTGGTGAAATAGCTTGAACAGTTATCACTTGGCCAAATGTTTAATATCCTGTGGTAGTGGGATAATATCAGAACTGAAACCTCCTGGAATTTGAGTTGTTTTAATGGCCATATCTTCTGAAGGTAGGGACACCTGATATCCTGACTTGCATGCCTTTAAAACTGACCTAGTTTTGTTGTGGCTGTACAGAGGGCTATGCAGGCAGACGTGGCTGGTTCTGACATCCAAATTTCAATACTGGCAAGTTTTATCTGTGCTTAGGAAGGAATAGAATACTTTAAGGTGAGCCTTTGTAGGAGGGAATTGATTTGTTCACTGGCAAATTATATATGGCCAATTCTCAGTGGGCTAAAAGTGCTTTTGTCATATTAACTAGGTCTGTTAATCTCCATCTTATCACGTATTAGAAGGTAATCCTGTATGTTATTACAGGTAGCACACTACACATTAATGGCAGTTACTGCACTAAACTGACCTCTGAATTACTGTACTTTGTTTTGTGTCTGTAGAATAGACTTTGCCTTACTGCTACTTAATAGGCTCTTTACCTTCAGTGTTGTGGCATTGAAAGACTTTATTACAGTAGTACACATGTACGTTTGTGTATGTGTGTGTGTGCACGTGTGAGACTGTGTGCCTGTAACTTCTAAATATGATCTGCTCGAATGGATATACATGTGTACATGAACTGATAGACCCAAAATGGTCTAAATCCAAATAAACTATGCGACATTATACAGATATCACAATATGTTGTACATCAGAAATGAATAGCAAAGCTGTAATTATATTGTTAATGAAGTGGAGTCAGTCAAATGATGGTGGACAGGATATTAACTGGATGCACAGCCTCTCCCCCCTCCCTGACCCTTATACATTCTAAGGCTGGATCTGCCAGTGGTTTTGCCTGACAGAACACCACTGCTTGCATTCAGTTGTATCATATGGCACCTCTGTGTATAGTGAATAATTGACCCCAGATGACTCAGTTTGGTTCAATTTCCTACCAAAAAAGCCCTCTATACACACATATATCAGTCCTAGTTGGATTGGATGTGAGTCAGACTATATAAAGTAAGTGTAGGTTAATCTGTATTGTATTTGGCTTGAGGCAGACATTGCTTCCTTTTGTTCTTGAAGTGTAATGTTCTAATTTATAGTGAGTACAAACTTACTCAAGGCAAGTAGCCAACATGATGCTGATTTTATGAGCTATTTTAAAATTAACACTGTCATAAAGATATTTGTCATTTCTTGGATTTTTTAAATTTTGATATTTTATCAAACATTTTGGTACTAATTGTGTGGATTTTAATGAGCAACATGTGTTTATATGCAGCACTATTATATATATATATTGTCTAAAACACATATGTAATAACTATTCGGTTCATGCTATTAGCAGGTTTTCAACAACTCCGTCAGGTGTTTGGTTTATCACTGGATTGAGTTGTTTGTTCCTGAAGTGAGATTCATGTCATTGTTCTTTTTTTGCACATATGTATGTGTGAAACTATCATTTCATGTGACTAGTGGAATCCAGTCTTTTTGGTTTAATGTAATATGACTTGGTACAGTAACCAGGAAATCCTTAGTTATTAAGTTATAAGAACTTTATAAACACCATTAACGCTGGAAAAATGAACCATTTACAGGATTCAAGGAAGCAATAATCTTGGTACAAGCACTATGTGTTATTACTTTCATAATGGTTTTTTCCTTATTATCACATGGTCTGTGGCACAATAGTTGCTCTGTACTTGTTGCAGTTTTGTTTTTCTCAGGAGAAGTTAAGGTGTTCTTTTACTGAAATCTGTTACTGTACATCAAAAACGATATAACCTGTGTTGAGTATAAACACTATTTGGTAATTTTCGTACTTTAAAGATCAATGCATCTTAGAAAAAAATATTTGATTCAATTTTGAAACATTAGGTTGCATTTTACCTTGAATGCTCCCTGGGTAATTTTGGCTTGTAGAGATTGATGTCATGACTTTCATGTTGACATTTGATATGATGGATATAATGTATCAAACCAATCTGTTACATAAGGAAGTCCAATTACTGGAAATGAAATCATATAAAATGCTCGAGCTATGAAATTAACTTAGCGTAGAACATGAAATATGATCTTATTCTGTATTTTCACTTTTTTATATGAAAGTCTTCACTAGACACAACCTTATAATACTGACTCAGACATTTTTGGAAATATGTGTGTGAAATAAAAAAGGAAAAAAACATGCTTGAAGTACACGAACATAAAAATAAATATATATAAAACCGTTGCCATAGTTATATTTCATTGTGATCATCATTAAGTCAGCATCTCCATATTGCAAACTGCTATTATCCTAATACCTGTGGCATTATTATATTTATAGGAGCTGATTAGCAGATCTACCTTAGAAACACACAAGCTTGACCTGATGGCTGAAATCTCTGCCTTGAAGTTAAGACTGGCCACAGCAGAGAAGCAGAGGACAGAATGGGAGGCAAAATTTACTATAGCACAGGTATGGTTTAATTCCTTTGCTGTAAGTTTGTAGTAATAAATGTAATGGAAGGTGTCAATATAGTCTGTATGAAGTAAGTCTGTGGCAGAAGACACCAAATTTTCTTTACTACGCTGATGGATTTTTGGCTCCAACTGTAAAGTTGCGGCTGGCAGACAACAATTTCATGCAGAAGTTGACACTGCCAACTGTTAAACAGCAGCAGATGGGTCTGAAGTTAAAATCAAGATATGAAGTAAATGTCCTAAATGTTAGGGTTTTTTTTTTTTTTTGTCTATTTTTGTAATACAACTTGTTAGTGATGTGTTTTTGAATCATGAAAGTATAAGACCATAAAGTGGGATTGACATAATTTCAGCGCCAAATTCAAGAACTTCAAGAATTATTACGAGGAAAAGATGCTGATATAGCAGATCTAAAAACCAAACTATCCAAGAATGGAACAATCTCCTCTTACAATAGCTTAGACTCTACAGGTATGTGTGTAAACTTCTCTCAGTAAAGTGCTCTCAAGTGCTACCCCACTATATGGATGCTTATTAATTCCCAGCTTCTCTCTTCTTTAAAAAAGGTTATAAATAAGCAGACCAAGAAAAATAAGATTTCGATGAAAAACATGGTTTGGGCATATGTATAAATGACAAGGGCATGTTTTAAATTTGTGGAAGCAGTAAAAGGAAAGGAAACTGTGCAGCACACCAAAACACATAGCAGATTTCCTCATTACAGTCACATCAACCTTTGAAGTGCTTGCATTCATTTTTCCTATCAGCCTTATGTTACTGAAGATAGCACACATAAATAACATTTCAAAGAGAAGTGAGCTGGCATAAACCCAGTTAGTTAAGAGGGGTTTGTGTTCAGAGGCTGCTGCTTTTGGTTTCTAATCATGTGTTGTCTGCCAAGCTGTCAGGATGAGTGTTGTTAATTGGGCTGGGGCTATCTCCTGGCAAAAACATCCTGCCACTGTGGACTGGGTGATGAGAATGCCCTTTATTCATGTGAAAATGGCTCTGAAAAAGATAAACAACAAATAGGAAAAAGACCTGCCTGGTTGTAAGGAATGGATGTTGGTTTGAGATTTTGGAAATATAGTTATTACTGTAAAGTTAACTGTGTGAAATGAAACGTGATCATAATAAGGGGAAGTATTGGGATACAACACAATTTGCAGATTCTTATTAGCTGTAGAGATATCCTTTTATACATTGGTGTAATATTAAATAGTTAATGTAGAATATAAATTGTAAATGAGGGACATGGGAAAACCTGAGGTGACTGCATTCCTGTTATTTATAAGTAATAAAAGGTACTAGTAGCTGTGTGTATTCGTAGGAAACTGAGAATGACTGTTTTTTGTCTGTTATGTGTTAAGGATATTATGGAAGTTATGGAATGGATCAACAAGTACGAAGCCTCGAAAGAGAACGCACATTGGAACGATTAAAGAGGAAACGTAAGCTGTTTTGATCCAAATGCGCAACACATAGAAGCATGGGGTGTTGAACCATATCAGCAGAATTTCAAACACCTTTGTTTGAGCTGGGACGGTGCATGCATGTTTCAGTATTTGGCAAGCAGTTTCTATGGTTGTATGTGTACATTTTCTGCTTGTACTGACATTGGTCAATTTAAGGAAGTACAAAGAAGATTTTTCATGTACACATGCTTCTATTATTTTGTTGAAATCCTTTAATCTAACAAGATATTCTATTTTATAGGTTATAACATATTATTCCATTGTGAAGCCTGCGTAGGGCTACCTTCTGCACTGACCTGTACTGCATGTGAACTTTACTATAACACAATAACATCATCTGTATTCATGATTGAAGAAGGAGATTAGAATAGAGTGATGCATACAATTGTAGTCCAGTTATAAGCTTGTTTTAATGATTATTGAGTGTATCATATGTAGGAGCTCCATGGTTCTTCTCCATAAAGTGATTGATGCTAGGCCATTAGTTACACACATGTATAATGGTTGCCCAATTTCTTAAAAATATACTTAGATGAAAAGAAAAAAAAAACAGATAGGCAAAGTTTGTTGTGTTTTACACCTAAGTTTTGATTGAGTTGATTCCATTCTCATTTGAATTTTAGTTCATTTTGTTAAGCTGTATTTTCTAACTTTATTTATTTTTGTGTTCCTCATAGTGAACTGCATCAGTAATCAGCAGTTGAAATGTAAGGATATTTTATGTTGTGCCTATTCCCCAATTTGTTCATTTTTTCCAACAACTCCTCAAATCCTTTTCTAGAAAATTTCATCAAAGCTCATAAGTGCACATGAAAATTTAATGTCCCAACCACATCTTTTAAATGAAAATATTGAGGCAGATAAGCTTGAGCTTGATGATATTTTCTCACAAGCCACTGCATTTGTTTGATCCCAGCAGAGAGTTATTAACTCACATGTCTAAACCTTTCAGTGTACAGTTTCTTTTTCTGTTTTTGATATATCTTAATTAAAGTTGTCCCAACTTATTTTTATTATCCCTTTTATGTAACCCATGTGGTTACCCATATTTCCTTTGTGAATAATTATTCGTCTTGATTCTTTGCTATTGTATCAAATATTTCATCAGCCAAATTTTTACAGCTGCAAAATACAGGTTATTTATGAGAAGTAAGTGCTCGTAACATCCTGAGAAAAAAATATATCATGAAGATCTTAGGATCAAACATTCATCTTTGTTGAGCTAGATAGTTATGAAACATATATCAAAAGAGAGTGGGTAACCCAGACACCCCCCTCCCCCCCCCCCCTCCTGCCCTGCATGCTGTCTGCATGACTTTAACTATAGGTTTACTTCAGAATTACGCTATTTATTGTATCAGGTTATTGATCACATTTAATTTGCTACATATGGAATCCAGGGATCTAATCTGTTAGTGAAAAATGAAAATTAAAATGTCATCATATTTATTTGTGGTTTTTGTCAGGACTAGGATATGAGAGATCACAGATGGTTTACAGATTGTGAAATATGGTGTCTGACATTTGAGAGAGAGAGAGTGAGAAGGGGTTAAATTAATCTTTAATTTTATTCTTTTTGTGAATTTCCATTTATTTCAAATGTTCTCTCTGTTCAATTAGACACAGAAGTGGATAAACTTAAGAGGGCTGTGGAGTCTTTAATGGTAGTCAATGAAGAGAAGGTAAGTCATTAAATTGGTGAACATAAAACTATTAATCTTTTTTTGTCATATTTTTTTATCCATATCAACTTCTTTAGCTCTGTTTTGACTCTTTTAGATACAATTTTGTTAAATACGAAAGTCCCTGATAGGTTTGCCTACCAAGTATTTTGTCAAAATTGTTTTAAACTATTCTGCAGGAAAGAAAGATTGAGGAATTGAAAAGAACTGTGCATAAGTATAAAAAACTAGAAGAATTGGTTGCCCAGATCCAAGGTAGAAAAGGTAGGAAATAGTTGTAACTTTAAACAAAAAGCTACAGTTACAGTATGTTGTATAGGATTGCCTTATTTATTTATTTAAAAAGAAATGTTCTCAATTTTTGTGAAGGGTAATCTGTATTTTGTAAATGACAGAGAAAACACATTGCAATTTTAGCTTTTCAACTTCCAAGTCTCCATCAGGTATGCAACAAGCTAAATTGTCTTTCAGTTCTGGAGGGTTTCTATGATGATGCAGGCAGTGACAGCAGTTCAACCACAGAGAAATCTACACCTTCTCTTCATGAGCCACACCCTCCACACACAGACCCCTGGGTAGGAAACCCATTATATGTATGGATGGATACATTTCATTAATAGCAGTACAACAGATAGGATCTGGAAACACAATAGCTGAAAATAAGATCATTTTTGAAGTGCAATAAGACAGTAAAGAGAAAAAAGATTTTACCACAGTTAAGGAATTGATTATTGACTGCACTAAATATACATATGCCACTTTATTTTATTGATATGTTACTGCACTTAAATTGACTGTTACACTCAATTTCCGTTTCAGACACTTCAAACAAATTCTACAGAGAAGCCCACTATGCCACATCCCAATGCAACTAGCACTCCAGGTTAGTGGTGTTTGCTATTCTTCATATTCTATTAGCTTATGTGTTTTAAATAAAAGCATATCCCCCCCCCCACACACACCTACTGACAAAGGTACAGATTCCTGAAAAATAACACTTTCTTAATCTCTTTAACAGAATACAGACAGCGGCCACTGCATATCCAGCCTGTACCCAATGGTAACCACACTGGCACCCCGCCCTCCGCCATAATGAACCTGCAGTCCCCCAGGAGGTCTCCGGGGATCATCAGGTCCAATAGTGCAGAGGACATCAAACAGCCTCCACATCATGTAGATTATGTACCTAAGGTAAGAGTTGCTCTAGCTGGTATCAGTGAGCTGATATACATTGTAAATATGAACTTATCTTGATTTAATGTGCTTACTGTTAAATTTTATGTCATCTATACTGTTTATGATTATAGGCTTTTCTGTATCACCTGTCTAACTATGTTTGGCATTGACATTGTTATATTCAATTTATTGTGGAAACTTATTTTCATTTTATATATTTCACCATGATAATTATCTTCCTATAGACACCACCAGCTTCTAAAAAGTTCCGCATTGAGGGTTCCAATACTCTACCAAAGGACCCCAACAAGTTGAGTCCTCTCACCCAGCAGCAACAGCAGGCACTGATGCAGATGCAGAAGAAAAACAAAGGTTTTTCATCCTTTGGTAAAGGTTTCTTAAAAATTAAACCTGGAAAATGGAGTACCTCTGCACCTAACCTAGGTGATGGCTTTTGCTTTCTTTCACCTCACTTCATGCACTTGAATACCCTGGCACACTTTCTGTACAGTTTATAAATTTATAAATATTTAAACTGTCTTTTTCTGTGTTTAGAGACTTTGGGCAACATAATGCAATATTTAAAAAATCAAAATACACAAAAAGGAAGCTATGCTAGGGTTATTTGGTAGAAGATGAAGCTCATTTTTCCACCAGTTTTTATACCCTGCTTGACTGATTTCCGAATTTGAATTGCATTTTTATTCCATGCAAACAGAAGTGTTGACTTTTTACATACTTGTTGTTTTTCTTCCCTTTTCCCATGCCAACTTTGCTTCTGTGTGAGCTTGATCTCCTATCTTATTTTATTGGTCAAGGTTTTATGTTTTATTACTGTGCAGGGCCTCCTTGTAGAGTTTTGTAATAGAAACTTATATTAGCACCTGTTTGGTGATCACCTGTAGGTGTCAACCATCTTTTACAGGTTATTCAGGTTGCTATTATTTACTTATTCATTGAGTCATCTGACATCAGGTTTCATTGTTTGAAGTAATGAAGAATATAATATTTGTTAGTCTCAATTCTGCATAGGTCCTGCATATTAAATCCTCTATAACTGAAGGCAGTAAAAATGTCTTCAGGTATAGATAGCTGTCACGGCGAGCACTGCAATATTGTTTTGTAATTCTGCACACATTTCACACTGAGATGTTATCAGAACACCAATGGCTTGTTTTTATCTTTTTTCTTAAAAGGACATGTTTTGTGAATGTTGTATATTCTTTTGTTGATCTGATTTAAAGGAAGTGCGATGCGTGAAATTCTGTATTTGATAAAAGTGCTCACAGATCAATGGGTTAAGAAAACATCTAATATGAATTCATTTTTTATTTATTGTTCACTAGAATAATTTCCTTATGGTTGTTGCTTATTAAAGCACAGTTAATTGGTTTTGGCTAAATTGTTTGAAAAGCTTCATCACAGGTTGCAGCAAAAGAATGCATTGATATACAACATTGTTAAACAGTACATTCTATCTATCATTCTTGCAAAATATTTGGACAAGCTAAAATGATTATGTTGTATTTCAGTCCGCATAGTGATGATTTGTTTTCAAACGTTCCTTTAATGCACGATTCTTTGGATATTTCTTAAAATCTTGATATTAAAGTGTATTTGTAGTCACCAATTCTGTTGTTGAAGTCCCCTTTTTTGCCTCAAATATCATGAACTGTCCCTTTGAATCACAAGGTGTTGTTTTTGTGTGTGTGCACATCAAATCCTGTCATATCTTTCTAACCATAAATATTATTGAACAGGAAAATTAACCCCTTTATGGGAAATTCATATTAATTATTTTTATGCCTGTGAGGTAATTTACAGACATTCTCTACAAGCAGCACTGGCATGCTGTATATAAAAAGTTCACAAATGTAATCAGTGCGTCTTCAATAGATTACCAATGGAGCTTTAGGTACAAACAAGGTGTTAAAGTGCTTCTCATTCAGAAACTTTCACCAATTATTATTAATGTACGTTGTGTTTTCTTTATTGTTGCAGCTCAAACAGAGATGGAACTGGTTGTAGAACATGCTGATGGTCAAGATCCACAACTAGATCAGGACAAGAAAAAACAGAAGGGAATCAAAAGGCTATTTGGAAAGTAAGAGCAATATTCTTTACCTTTTTGTGGCTTCTCACTGAATTAGATTGGAACACACAACATTCTGATAAGTTGTCCTTTTTTCCTTGATTTATGAAAAAAATATTTATATATTGTGTTAAATGTTTTGGGTGAAATATCTTTGACAGTTGTAATTTAAGTGTAAATTCGTTGCCAAATTATGAATGGAAAGAGATATCAAAATGATACATTATAAGAAGATAGTCTTAATATTTAACTCGACCTCAGTTGAATATTCCTAACTGTTTAATGTCTTCTCTGTCAGGAAGGTGCGTCGCACAGGTTCTCAGGATACAGAAGGGGGTGTGGACCAACCAGGAGAGTTCCGCAGAGGGGGACTACGGGCCACTGCAGGAGCAAGACTAGGAATACGGGTTAATGAGTAAGGATGTGCATAAATAGTATTAACTCAGTTTAGAATAAATACTTTCATAAAATTTTGTAAACAAGCTGTATAAATGTTGATACTGGAAATAAAAGTACTAATGGTTAAAAATGAGCAGGGTTATAAAGAAAAGTAAAAAAGGATCTGTTGTTTGAAATAGTTTCAAACTATATCTACAACAAAGGCTGTTTCCTTTTTATTACTTAAAATAATTTCTTTTCAAGTGGATTTGATGTCCCCTTCTCAAGAAAAGATGGTGAACAGGTGGCACTGTGGTTGCATGAGATAGGCCTAACAATGTACATTGGTGACTGCAAGAGATGGGTGAAAAATGGTGCTCAGTTGCTTAAAGCAACTCCTCATGATTTAGAGAAGGTATTCTATAAGATTTATGTTATATGGTACTTCTCAGTAACAAGAATAGCTAATGTTGATATGTCTATCAAGATTTAACATTAAAGTTGAATTTCAATTTATAAACAAAGCATGTATTTCTCCCTTCTCATCATTTACTTGTGACAGAATTTGAGAAACTTTACTTTTTAGGAAATGGGTGTAAGGAATCCTCTTCATCGTAAAAAGCTGTGTCTGGCTTTGCAAGCGTTGAGCTCAGAACACCAAGACATGACAGGAAAACTAACTCATGAATGGGTGACAAGTAAGGAAATAATTATTCATGTCAATTTTAATAGATACATATTAAATTGTTGTATCAAATAGTGGTTATTTAAATTTCTTTTCAAAATATGTATGTCAAATGCAGCTGTAAGCTGACCCATATTTAAAGATAAGTATTCTTTTATTTACTTCATGATACCGTTTCCCATTTCAACAGGATGGCTTGATGATATAGGCCTCCCACAGTACAAAGATGCCTTCAGTGAAGCCAGGGTGGATGGCCGGATGCTGCATTATATGACAGTGGTAAGTTGAGCAATGAAAACCACTTGGTTTGATTATGTGGAAAAATCGTGCTAGGAATTGATTTGCTTTTACTCTGGCTGGACTGCTTCTGCACTTTTTTTGGCTGAATTGAAATGGCATTTTATTCATTTATTCAATTTTCAATAGGGGAGCAATGTAATGTTCTGTATTCAAAAAAGATTGTTTTAGCATAAGAACATTCTCCTCTTTCTCCTTCCAGGATGACCTCATAGCTTTAAAAGTGACCAATGAGCTTCACCACATCAGTATTAAGCGAGGAATTCAGGTGCTGAGGCTTCACAATTACAATCCAAACTTTTTGAAGCGGCGTCCTGCTGCAGACGAGGGCCAGGTGATCAATGCTCCAGAGGAAGTGATGCTGTGGAGTAATCACAGGGTGATGGAGTGGTTGAGAACCATTGACCTCTCTGAGTACGCACCCAATCTGAGGGGAAGTGGTGTTCATGGTGCTTTACTGGTGAGTGATGCCACCTAGTGGCATTTGTCCGCAGTTGAACAGTAGATTGTGGCTGGTGATGTATAAATTTTTTCAAATTTTTGCAATTAGAAAAGGAAATGTTGTAGAAGAGTTAAAGTTAAGTTTGAATATGGGAAGTTGTTGATGGTTTAGGTGTGCAAATGATAAATTCTGTAAGTAAATCTTGCTTTTTTATGATCATCAACAACACATATTGAAATATTCATTTATCTGTCACAGGTTTTGGAGCCCCGCTTCCAGACAGATTTACTGGCAACACTTCTTTCTATCCCTGCAAATAAAACACTACTTAGGCGGCATCTCAACACCCATTTTATCAGCCTCATAGGAAATGAAACACAATGCAAGAAAAGAGATTATGAAATGTCTGCTGAATATGTTGCACTCACAGCTAGCTCAAAAGTAAAGGTATGTGGTGAATGTTGTAGTCATTACCAGTTAATTTGAAAAGTTAGAATTTTGCAGTCTAGGAAAATTTTTTTTAAAAAGAAGAATCGATGTTGCTACATACTGAATACTTTTCAGGATTTTGTTAATCCACAGAACAATGATTTATTGCATTTCTTATTCAGACTCTTTACTAATGCATATTCCTCATAAACTTTCATTGTTTGTATTACTTATGCATCATTCAGGCTAAGAAGAGAAGTATATTCAAGAGAAGCAAGTCAGAGATGGGAGATGGAGAGGACTACCTCTGTCCGCTGGAACTTTCGGGACCAATTGGTCAGAACAATAACAACAGTATTCGTAATGGAGGGCAGCAATATAGAACAGAGGTTCGCGGGTACAATACAATGATGGGACGGACAGCACGCTCTCCTAATGCCAAAACTGTTAAAGAAATTGGTGCAATGTCGCAAGATATAAATACTCTAACGGTAAGGTTTTGACTGTTGTTTAGTAACAGTGATAATTAGAAATAAGTTACTGGCAAATATCTTTGAATGAATAATACAGGAACTCATTACATCAGCATATCGCACTAAAAGTTTTGTCTACTTTAACTGGGGTGGGGTGGGTGGGTGTCCTTTTTAACAAAATGTTAGATATATGAGTTGTGTTTTAGCTCAGGACCAATTTGTTTCTATGTACAACTACATTTAGTCTATTAACTTGAATCAAAATAGACTAAAATTTCCCATCTCAAGTTGTTGAGTTTCACATTGTCAATACTCAGAATTATTTTTTACAGGACATGCTTGCAGAGGAAAGATTTCTTCAAGACGACAGTGTGCCAACCTCAGATGTTTAGAAATGGTGAACATTTGTTCAGTTCAGCTCATGTTTTGCCCAGAGGGAGAGATGCCCTTGTGAATTTTATGGAGAGATACAAGTTTTTACATGTTTGGAAACAGAATATGTGAACTGAAAAAAAGATCATCGAAGAAAGTTGAGGAGTGTTGACTTCTTCTTAAATGCCAAACAAAGTTGAAGTGTGCAGGTTTTATGTCTATATATGAGCACTTCTTATAAGTCAGACACTCCTGAGACCTCACCATGAGGTCATTTTTAGAAGTCGATGGGAGGTGACCAGTATGTCTGAAAATGGGACAGTACAATTCCAAAGCAATAGACAGTGGACCACAGTCAGCGCCAAGATGTATGAATGTATTATATTAACAAGGTTTATGCCTTGAAGTATATTTTATTATATATTGTTTTAAAGTGAACTTAAATTCATTTATTTAATATGTTGAAACAGATTTTTAGGTGTACTAGCTGTCAGCACAGTGAGTTAAATCACACAAGTTGATAATTAAGGCAGAGGTGGGAATGCACACAAGACGTGGTCTTAGTACATCTGTTAAAAATCCATGAAAGTTTGCCTTATTTACACAAACATTATGTTATGGTCTTTCCTTTACAAAGAGAGGCTAGTATGTAAATACTGTACATATCACAGTGATGTGCATTAATAAGGGTTCATTTTACATTGACTTTATGCTCCACAAACTGAGAAAATGAAATGTAATAATTCTATAGAAGAGGTAGATATGAAAATTAGCACTCGGAACAAAATCATAATTGCCTAAGAATTTTTTTCTGAATGTTTTGGTCTATGCACTGAAGTATTAAATGACATGAAGATGAATTGACTGATATTGTTATGTTGAGTGCCTTCTAAACAAAACTTAATGGCAATAATATTATTGTGATAAAAACTGTCTGTAGCCCCTTGAATGGAGTGATTTCAATGCCTGTAATCTTGATAAATTGATAATCAAAAAGGTGATAAGTTTATATGCCTACCTTGTCAAATGTCATACCTATAGCAAGGGAAAATTACACAGGAATTTCTTGTTCTATCAAACTATGCAGAAAGTAAGATAATTTCACTTAATTTTATCATTTGCAATTAAGGATTCTGTCTTTTTCATTTATACTTTAGAATATTTGAACAGTTAGTGTGGGAGTGAGGTAGGCCATACAATGATCTATATATCTTATAAGAGAAATGAAAAAATTTACAAAAATTCTTCATCTATTTCAAATCATGGTTTTATTAGTTTTATTTATCATTTAGATTTTAGTTTGCTTATATATATGTTGTACTGTTTTAGTTTCAATAAACTGATTAATTTTCTGTCAGTCTCAGATTCTCAACAAGAGTAAGCTGTGAGAGGTTGGAGGGGAAGAAGTGTACTTTTTTTACCCTTTTTTAATACTTATACAGCAAGCCCGTAGTCAGCAATTTCAAAGAGGGGGAGGAGGCTTTTATAAAAAATAATAAAAAATAAATAAATGAATAATTAGAAATAAAATAAAAAAGGGACCTTTAACCATAAAAAAGTGGTGTACTTGGTACAATTTTTTATCCAGAGCAGCAGAGATGCCAACCGCAGGAAATCTAAAATCTGGAGATTATAAAATTTTGCTCAGTTGGGGGGGTGGGTGAATGGTCGCTGCCATTGTGCTCAGTGGGAGAGGGGGGGCGACCACTCTCTCACCTCCCCCCCCCAAAGAGAATTATGAAGTTTTCAAAAGATAAACCAACTATTCTGAAGACAAATCGAATATTAACATTTTTGCGTGTAATGCCTAAGAAACATCAACAAGACGGTGGTGCAAATTTTCAAAGTCTATTTTCAACCAAACTCAATATAGAGGTGCAAGTGAGGTCACAGGCATGCTCTTAAAAATATTTAGTGCACAGATTAGAAACTATGTTTGATTATTTTAGGGTCCCATATGAAGAAAATTGTATCAAAGTTTCACTCTCCTGGAACCATGAATAAAAAATAATTCATCGTCTAACCCCAAAAAAGGAACATGCGCACGTTAGCCTACTGTCACAAACGCAAAACGTCCAGCTGTGAAACGTTGTACTCACTGAAAATTCAGTCATCACTGGTTTTGTTCTTTGATTTATCTCCTAACAAGTAAAACTTAAAAAGTTATGATAATCTACTGTATAGAGCAGTTAATTGTTTTTGAGGGACTTAAGTTTGCTTGTCACTGAATATTTAAAAAACGGGGAAAATGCACCCTACCCACAGTAAAATAAGCATTAAATAATGTTTTTCACTCAAAAATGTTAAACTATCATGGAATCACAATATATTTTTCGGTCAGCAACAGAAAATACTGTTCAAGTTAAAGTACTTGGACAAAATGAAATTTTCTGACAATTTTTCTGGGGAACATACGTAGTATTAGCCATGGCGCTTTGGCCCCTTGGGTAACAGTTTAAGTAGCAGTCTCTGTAAGATTCAGAATAGGGTGGCACATGACCCTCTCAGATTTTGATGAAAATTGGTGTATTTGTTCATTATAGCCCCAAACCAACATAATGGATATTGGTTTGTTTGAATAACCCTCGGTTGCCATGGTAACAGCACTTAAAATTTTTCACCCAAGATGGCGGAATCCAGATTGCAAAATTTCAATTTCAGCTATATTTGAGCTAAAAAAAACATAAATGTGGATAAATAAACATTTTTCATTTTCAGACATTGTTAAATATCATATCCTATTTGAACTAAAAACATATAAATAAATGTTTTTGGTGGCCTTTAAAAATTAGAAAAATAACTTTGAAAATGGGGAATTTTCAAAAATTCCAATTTTTGCTAAAATGCCCAAATTTGCAAATTTCAAATACATTTTTCATAGACTGGCCAAAGCCATCTATTATCACCATACATTACATAAGAAAGTACATGTACTGTCCTTTTATAATCAAAAATAAAATTTTTTTCAAACACATTTTTCAAAAAATTATTCAATTTTTAAAATTCTTAATCCAAGATGGCGGCAACCAAATTGCACATTTTACATATTTGTGTATATTAAAAATAACAAACATGGTTAAACACATATTTTATATTTGTATGTTGCTAAATCCCAAATCTTGATTAA